AATATTTTTCAAAGAAACTTTGCCACCATTTTGGAGCAGACCTCCAACCTTTGTGCCCCTCCCTTCTGCAAAATCCAGGAAGTAACACTCCCTACCTCTCTAGCCACGTGTTTCCTGGAGCTCTATGGTACTTGGTCATTTTTTCTTATAAAAGTGAGTAAAAGGAGCCCACGGGGGAGGTCCGTTTTGTTGTTTTAATGTTTTAATATCTTCAATGAAAGTACTGAGACAGAGAGAGAGGGGGATTAGACAGGGTGTTTTTTGTCTTGCCCCGGTTAGGATTTCTTAAGCAAATCCACTGGACTTTCAACATGAAGCCAGAAAATCGGGACATTTTTTAAAACAGCCCGGGACACGGGACAAATTGTTATAAAGCGTGACCATCCCGCTGAAATCGGGATGTCTCGTCACCTTAGCTTTACTTCCACGTCGACCCTGTTTTCTTAGTTGTTCTTGTCTTCTAGCAGCGTTGTGAATGCACACACTGGGAACAGGCTCCAGCTGTTCCTTTGCCTCACTGCTGTCTAGCTCCCTCTCTGCCTCTGATGCAGAGCCCTTATCTGAGCTTTCCTCAATTCCCAGGATTAGCCCACATTCCTCTCCAACCTTCTCACTGTCCAACTCTGCTGCCAGCTCTGTTGTCTGCCGGCAGGCCACAACAGCAAGTTCAAGTTCCACCTTAGCTATGAAAGCTAGCTGGGTGACTTTGAGCCAGTCACTCTCTCTCAGCCCAATAGGATCTTTGTTGTAAGAGAAAAATAGGAAGAGAAGGTGTGTTGAATATGGTTGCTGTGTTATTCGTAAAAATTATAAAGGCAGGATATAAATAAACAAATAAATAATAATAAAATGGCAGACCCAGGAAGATGCAGTAAAATAAATATGGAAAGGGGTTTTGAGAGACAGGGAGTTTGCACTAGTTCTCACCTAAATCACTCTCGTATTTTTACAAAAGGTCATAGCTGAAAAAGTGGTTGTGGATGAGAAATTATTGGAAAACCCCAAAGACTGTGGAAGATTGCAGCATAAGAATATAAAGTGTTTGATATTTTAATCTACAGGAAGAATTAAATGCAGGAGGAATCTGATTTTCCATCCTTCCCATTGCAACTCCTAACCTCTGGCAAGTAAAAATGGGCACTTGCTAGCTAGCGATGCTGTAAGCTACAATCCCCCCAAAATGAAACAGACATCAAGGCATTGGAGGAAAAAAATAATCATGGGTTGTTCTTATGACCCTATAATATAACAGCCTCAGAAAATAATAGGAAAAACAGGTTTCTTGGGACGCCTATTTCCCAAAAATCCTACCCATTGGACACTGAAATGTGTGTTTATGGCTTTGTTTAACATGTCAGGATCAGTGTTGGAAGTGCCAAAGGGGAGGGAAGCTTAAATGGCTCGCACACATTGAAAGGACTAAGGCACTTTGCCCAGGCACTCTGAATTGTGCAAGTTACACAGAACAAATGTACTTGGAAAAATGGACGGGAGGTACCCATGGATTATTAGCTACCACTTAAAGCAACTTCCTTGCTTGCCCTGCTTCACCAGCATGGAAACAAAGTATTCCATACAAGCTAGAAACATCCCTGGGTTTTTGGGTAGTCTCCCATGTATGTGTTTAATCATATATAAATAGCACACAAGCTTTTAGGCAGATATAAGCTCAGACTTTTCCTGCTAGGGATTCTCTCTTTCTCTCTCTCTC